CCACAAGTACTCCTGTTCTTCTTTTTGCGGATACAGACTAACACGGCTGCTACTCTGAAACCTGTCATTTATACCACTGTGCATTTCAAGGTTTTTGTCAGTAATAATATCAAAGTAATAATGTTTCAGGTCATTATGGTTTTAAGTTTGGTTTTCTTTCAAAGAGATATTGGCTATATAAATTCTATTACATTTTTTTAAAAAATCATATTTATTTTATACAAACAACCAATCATTAGGCTAGGCCAGATAAAATTGTGATCAGCATCACCACCAGTTATTTTACTATGTTCACACCTCCACATTCATATTCAATGCTTTATCCAGCCTTTCTTAACACACGTTTAATCACATGCTGTTAAAAATACCATTTAATTTTAGTAAAACCTTTGAGCACCTCACATCATCTGCATCTGTGCAGCTACTTATCTGCCCCTTCTTTTTCATCAAATATACATACAAGAGACTGGTCAAACTATCTACCATACGGAAAGTGTCAGCCAAGTTACATGAGCCTTTGTTGTTAAAAGCTGCCATTCTAAATAAACTCCCTAAAAACTCCACTGATCACACCTTACTTTACTTAGAGCCTGATTCTCCACTGCATTTCATCTTATGTAGTCATTTGCACCTGTGCAAAGTTAGGATTAAATTTGACCAAATCACCAAATTACTAGGCATAGGCAGAAATGACTTCCAAGGCATAGAAGAACAAACCAGTGGGTTGACATTTGAGAATTGTTGAAGTACAGAATTTCTTTGGAAAGGAATAAAAAATTAAATGATTTCAATTTTTTGTTATTTCTTTCTTATTTTTTTTAACCTACCAGGCATGATAATATTGGAAAAACCCAGCTTCCTTGTTATTGATACCCCATGAGTAAACATGGATGTGTAATCTCTCCTAATTTGTTCAATGTCTCCATGAAACAGTTGAAGAGAAACTGCCAGACCTGGAAATGAAGAGAAGAAACAAGAGCCATAAGAATGGTATAATGCAACATTAAGTCTAAAATCCATTCAAACGGAAACACGATATTTAATATTAGAAGGTTTGCATAATTCATTACGATCTTTCTAATTCAAAGGTCAATAACTCTAAACCATCTCAGAAGTTGTATACATTTGGGAAGGATAAACATTGTAGAAGAATCCTCCATGTAGAAAGCCAGATAAGCACTAGACAGCCATCCAGCCATACACAAGCAGTAACAAGGTGGCTATCATTGGTCTATAACTGAGGCAATTACAGCAACTCAAACCTTAGCCAAACAGGCCTAATAAGACCTTACAAGAACACACTGTGACATTGCACTCCATGTGTTTTATGAAAATATGCTTATGAATGTGAATATAGTATAACTGGAATATGCTTTATGCAAAAGGTCTCTTGTAATGTATCATAACAAAGATTATAACCTACTGAATATATTCCTCCTATTTGTATGTATGTATAGTTCTTGTATCTGAAGCTAGAAATATGAAGTATAATTCTGAGGTCCTATTGTAATTATGCAAAGTGTGGGCCATTAATGGTGGCTTAGAATCTTGATGGCTCCCATTGACTAGGACAATTGGTTGTGATTGGGTTTATTTACCTGCAAGCCTTCCTGTGTACGTGTGGGCAAGCCCGGGGGTAATGAAGAATGAGGTGTCACAGGATACTGGAATCTATCTTAAATCTGGTACTTTTCCATTTAGAAAGGGGGGTGGGGACCCAGAGAGATGAAAAAATTCCGGCCTTGTGCCAAAGCTATAAAAGGGGGTGGAACAGAACAAAGGGGACTGCCGGTCATGAGAACACCCCTGCTTTCCACCTAAGATGTCTGCTGGAACTAACAAGGACTGTACCATGGGAAAGCATTGGGCCCAGACTAGGAAGGAGTCTAGTCTGTGAAAGAAGCTTATTGGGACATCTCTGAGGGTGAGATTTTACCAGTAATCAGTTTCTTAATGTATTAGGCTTAGACTTGCATGTTTTTGCTTTATTTTGCTTGGTGACTGACTTTGTTCTGTCTGTTATTACTTGAAACCACTTAAATCCTACTTTTTATATTTAATAAAAATCACTTCTGTTTATTAATAAACCCAGAGTAAATGATTAATGCCTGGGGGAGCAAACAGCTGTGCATCTCTCTATCAGTGTTATAAGGGCAGACGATTTATTAGTTTACCCTGTAAAAGATTTATACAGAGTAAAACAGATTTATTTCGGGTTTGGATCCCATTGGGAACTGGTTGTCTGGGTGCTGGAGACAGGTGACCCAGTGAGCAGTTTTTGGTTAAAGTCTGCAGCTTTGGGGGCGTGGACCAGATGTGGGTCTGTGTTGCAGCAGGCTAGCATGTCTGGCTCAACAAGGCAGGGTTCTGGAGTCCCAAGCTGGCAGGGAAAATGGGCTCAGAGGTGACCGAACCCATCTCACGCACTTCTGGGAAATATCAATTATTAGTAATACTTTGCTGCCACTTAATCTTTTCATTTGCTTGTTTATCAAACGAATCACCGCCTATTCTTACAAACAACTAGAATTCAGTATGTATCTTAAAGCAGTAGGACAAATGCATCACTCTCCCCCTTGCCAATAGATAGCCACATGTTGGAGAGCCCAAGAAAAAATGTGCATATGAGAAAAAAAATTAAGGTGCAGAGTCACAAAAATACCAATCTTGATAAAGGTTCTACAGAGGTATTTCTATAATTAAACTGAATGTTTTTATCATTACATGTCACAAAGGTATTTGAATATTCATCAAAATAAAAAAAAGTTCTGATATCAACATTTACATAATAGGAAGTCAAAACATTGTTTTTGAAAGGCATTAATTCTCTAAGAAAGTACTATACAAAGGGAGAAAAACTACATTACTGCTTGCAGTGTCCTGAAAATTTAATAGAAAAGCAGACGCAAACAAAGTACAGTCTTGTCTGATACAGAGCAAAAGATATAGCGGTTTTGAAGGTGACTACTTTGTGGAAGAATGTGGGAGTCTCAATGAACACCTGTTATCATTATGTATGGCTACATCACCAGTGCACTTCTAATCACAGCAAAGCTTATGAAACTCTTGCTATTAAAACCAAAAGCTGAAGGTAAATTAGAACAATGTAAGAAAACCAAATCCTGCTACTTTTCTGCTTAAACACAACATTGTGTGTTGAACACACTTTAAGTCTCATAATGGCTAAAATTATAAACAATTATTTTTTCAGTACACCTCTACCTCGATATAACGCTGTCCCCGGAGCCAAAAAATCTTACTGTGTTATAGGTGAAACTGCGTTATATCGATCTTGCTTTGATACACCGGAGTGCATAGCCCCGCCCCCCGCGGAGCACTGCTTTACCGTGTTATATCCGAATTTGTGTTATATTGGGTCACGTTATATCGGGGTAGAGGTGTATGTTTAATTCACTCTAACAGAGGCTCTGTTCTGTGTGCTGGAAGACATGGTGCTCAAGGGTTAATGAGTACAATATACTACTCCCCTTCCAAAGAAATAATGGTTCTAGAAGAAAGGAGTGCCTCACCTTTGGTAATTTCAGTATACAATGTAACAATGTAACTGGAAGCACCATGCTTCATCATAGCTGAAATTAACAAAAAGGATATGTTTGCTTTTTGGTTATTTCAATATAATCATTGTGACAAATGTCAGGATGATACAGCTTGTAAGGATTAATCCTCCCTGATCTCAGCAAAACTTATTTTATGTGTCAACAGACACATACGAATGCAGATAGGGACAAATTCCTGACCTACATTAATAAGCAGAAACAAGCAGATTAACCTAAAAAGTCATGAAGAACCTTAGAAGATAAAGGAAGGCACAATAAATAAATAAATATACACACATATGACAGCAGGGCAATCATTCTATGAGGTTCGGATTGCCCCACTGAACAGTTTATTTTGTAACTGATCATTTTGTGGTTGTTGCACCATTACCTACAAAATCTGGTAACAGCTACGGTCAGTCAGAATACTGGACTAATCCAGTACAGCAATTTTTATCTTTCTTCTATAGTTTATTATTTATAACAACAATTTATTATTTTGATGAAGTGTCAGCTATGGGGTGTGTAGTGCCTTTGAGCAGACAATTTCCGATAATATTTATGTAGTGTTCTTGTAGTCGTGTCGGTCCCAGAGAGACAAGGTGGGTGAGGTAATATCTTTTATTGGACCAACTTCTATTCGTGAGAGACACAAGCTTTTGGGCTTACACAGAGCTCTTCTTCAGGTCAGCTCTGTGTAAGCTTGTCTCTCTCACCAATAGAAGTTGGTCCAATAAAAGATATTACCCTCATCCACTTTGCTCATTAATACTTATGGCAGTTCATTTTGGTATTAATGAGTGACTAAATCCCTTGAGGTAAAAGTGCGCTTGCACCTTAGGTTGTTACATCGCGCTAAATAGCAAATGGTTAATATGAATATGCTCAGCTCACCAATGGGCCTTTTCATTTACTTTGATTTCATTTGCAAATCACCACCACAAAAGACTGATGACATCCACTCCATTTCTAAGGTACTGCTCCCATTCACAACAAAGCTACAGGAATTGGTTGTCTCGGTCATAGACATTTGTTCTGTAGGAACTGTACTGACCAACCAACTCATTTCATATAAGCAACTGAACAGCTGTGAAGGGGTAATGATTTCAGTTACTATCAACCTGGACCACATGACAAACCATGATCTAGAGAGATAAATTTTAGCCCGTTACCAAAACCTCATTCTTTTTATATATTAAGAAATATTTCATTAGTTTATCAAAGTTTTTTTTTAAAAATTACAATGTTGTCTCCTGGGAAACCTAAGAGATATTTGCCATGAACCCAGATCACATCAAGTAGAAGAACAGTGTTAAAAATAATCAGATATTGTACACTGCCAGGGGTCATGTAATGTTGTTATCCTCCCTAAACACTTTAAGTTAAAGTTCAAGACCTTGAATCCAATTAGCATTTAAAGATTTCTACAATCTTTCTTTTTCATTTATCTCACAGATTTGCTTTGGAGAATTCTATTTTGCTCATAAAAATGAGATTAAAAAATATCAATGGCAAAAGCAGTTTTAACCAGGGAATGGAACTGATTGTCAAAGGAGTGTATACACTGACTCCTGCAAAAGACGACACGTCTTACAGCAATGTGTTTTACAGTGTTCACTGTTTCAAACTGAAGGAATCATCTTCTGATCTACAAAAGCTTAACGAAAAACTCTCTAAGGCATCTATCATTTAGACACACACAAAGATATATAATTCAATATTTTTATTTTGTGTAGTATTTTTCATATAAACTATACCCCAAAATATATTAGAATTAAATAATGCAAAAGATAGTATTTAAACACATAAATCACGTGCTGTATGTGGCAAGAGATTTTAAAAACAGTAGACATTGTATGGTAAATACATTCAAACATGCAATAAATGCCAATAAGAAAGAGAAAGAGAAAAAATTGGAGGCATAGGCAGATGGGAGGAAAAATATGTTTTAAGATAAAATCTAAAAAAAGGGAAGGAGAGATACAGATAGGTCAAATGGAAGAACTTCTAAAGAACAAGTGTAGTAAGCTTATACTAGGGGACTCAGCTGATAGATGAGAAGAGGAAGTAGAAAGGTGAGAAGAGGAAATATTCGCAAGGTAAACTGTACCACATCCATGAAGAATTTTAAACACAAGGAAGGCAATTTTGAACTAGTTCACAGCAATTAATGCATATGAAGACAGAAGTGACACGAATATGGTGTAAAGGTGAACTGAAGCATTATGCATGGGCTAGAGAGCTGAGACTTTTAGAGTACATCTAATACTGCAGCTGGGAGTATGCCTCCCAGCTTGGGAAGGCAGCCTCTGCTCAAGCTAGAGCGCTAAAAATAGCAGTGGGGATGTTGTGGCATGGACAGCAGCACAGATTAGCTACCCAAGTATAAGCCCGCC